GCAGAACACTGGAGCGCAGGCCGCGTGAGGACGATGACCTCCGAGGCCCGTGAGGGGTCCCCACCCAAGCCGAGGGCCCCTCCTGCAGAGCCCGGAGGTGGCCCAGCTTCCCGGCCAGCCTGCTGATTTCCCGAGGGAGAGGCTGTGGCCCACCTGTCAGCCTGCTGTTTGTCACCGTCATGGCGCACTGACATTCAGAGCGGGCGCCGAGATGATCGCATTTAGCTGTAATGTGCCAGACTCCACTGACATTTGGAAAATATTCCACCTCGGGACCCATTCGACTTCCAGCTTCTTGCTGGAAGGGGAGAGAGGCAGTGGAAGGGGGGCAGCCAGGACCTGGGGTGTCTGTCTGTCACGTCCCCCGACCACAGGACCAGAGAACCCCAGAGCGCCCCGATCTGGAGACAGGAGCTCGGAAAACCTTGCTATATCCACCTGGGAGGAACAGGAATGAGGGGGACCCAAGGCAGAGATGCAGACCTAGGAGAAGAGACCTCTCCTCGGGAGGAGCTAAAGGGGTCTCTGACCTGGCTGTGGAGACAAAGTTGACAGCGGTGGCCTTGAGTAATGGTGGGCTCAGATCTCAGAGAGATCAAGCCAGTTATCCAAGGTCTTCTCGATAGAGAGAGATGGAGCTGGGATTTGACCTGGCTCTAGAATCACTCAACATCCCCACGCTGGTTGGGGGTGGGGGGAAGGTAGATGCCAAGTGCTCCTGGGACCACTCTCAACTTTTCGTCCTCTTCCTCCCCTCCCTCTCTGATGCCCCCGCTCTTCCCTCTTCCCCTAGGTGGGACTGGCACGTCCAGAATTCTGCATGGGCTTCCTGGGAAGGAGCCTGGGAACTGCTCTGAACCTTGTAGTTCAAAATGGTGTCTAAGAAGGGCTGGCGTGTGCAGAATCCAGGAGGCTGACTGCTGCCTGATAGCAGACAGCGTTCAGGCCCTTGTGACAGCTCCGGAGGGAGGGGTTTGGATGGAAGCCTCCTTGCCTTGATCCAGCCCTCACTGAGTGGTACCCAGCCTGGGAGCTGGGCCACTGGGTTGCCCAGGGAAGCTGGTGGCAGCCAGAGGCATTCCTGTCTGTTCTCTTAGAAGGGCATCCTAGAGACTGCCGAGAGGGTGGGAGTGAAGAGGTGGGAGGGAAGGAGGGAAGGATATTTAAAAGCAGGGGGAGATGGCATGTCCCCGGCTTGTTCAAGAGGTAGGGCCTCTTAAGAGTTGATTAATCTCCTTAAATAACTCCAAGTCCAACTTCCCAAAAGGCAAAAGAAAGTTCGTTTAATCTACTTGAAATGATTCCTGATCTTCTCGGGGTGGCAATCAATAGGAGCAGGCGGGCACGCTCCTCATAAGTAATTCTCAGTAATTACAAGAGAGAGGGTTTTGTGGTGGAAAATGACATTCTGGCCTCAGAGCAAAGCCCCCAGGGAGGGGGATCAATTGGTCTCCGGCAGGGGGCCATCCTTGCCATTGGGTTAGGCTGCGGGGACAGCACCCTTGAGGCATATAACGGGCCTGAGGAGCTCAAACTGCAGAAACCACTGAGGGCCCCTAGCCCTCCAAAGCCCAGAGCACAACTGGCACCCAGCACCAGTGGCCTTGGAACTCGAACGTTGTACACCACTGGGGCCTCAGAAGCCATTTCTGAGCATTCCTACTGTGTTTGAGTCCCCACGATTTCTGAAGCTGCGCCGGGCAGCGCAGAATAGGAGCAGCTGCCCTGCAGATGGGGAGACCACAAGGCGGCGGGGATCTGTAACCTCTGACCTCTGCCAGTCAGCGGGGTCACTCAGGGATGCCCTAGGCCTGAGGGATGTGACTTCAGTGTGGGAATAAAGGCTGGGCTTCAGAGCCCTTAGGCCCACTGCCCAAAATAAAAAGTGACTCTTAAGCCAGGGGAGGCCCTGCAGGCTTTCGAGTACCAGCCCACGTCACCATCATAGTGCCCTGGTTCTGGTCCCAGTGCCCCGAGCCGTAGCTCTGTGATTGAATCCATCCATGGTGCCCCGTCCCAGCCACTCGGCCACCAAATCTATCATCTACAGTAGCACTCGGGCTGCTATTCACTCGTGTTTTTCTTCTCCCAGCAGCCTTCTTTTGATCCTAATTTTATTTTGAAAGCAAAGCTTACAGCAGCCCCTAAGTACGGAAATCCGTTCGGAGAGACATCGACTGTGATGTCAGCACACGAAGGTAAAGCACAACCATTAGTACCTGGTTGACGGGGCACGCCTACGGAGAGGCCCTCAGCGGGGACAATGGCCAGGCGGCCCCACGGTTAACCCAGCTGGCCACTGCATCTCTGCTGCCCAAGAGCTGAGGACTGTGTTCTGATTCCTTCATTTTTCTTTAGTGTGTGTGTGTATGGGGGGGGTAGGGGGTATATAATGTGTGTGTGATGTGTATTGACGATGTGTGTACGTATG